AGTTCATTTTGATCAATGTTCCTGGCAGCATTTTAAAATCATCTTTAAGTAGTGCACAAAGTAGTTGCCATTCAACAAAGCAGTTGAATACAATGCATCTTGATCAGTATTACCCCCTTCATCATTCTTCCCCATCATTCCCAATCCTACCCCTTCTCTCAATTTTCTTAATTTTGTATATGCTTTGAATTTTATGACTGCATTCTTCCCCTTGATGGAATTTTTTACAGTAGAATTTCATTAGGAATATCAAGTATTCAGACATTTTAATCAATTACGTACGATAAAAAGTCATTATAAACACTCTTAGAAACAATGATGGTACTAAAAATTTAAAAAGTTGCAACTTTCTAAATCTTCAGTTTTGTTAGTAGACTTTGCTTCTTTCCCAGCCTTTAGACAGCTGAAGAAAGAAACTTCTCTTTAGTATTTAAAATGGCATGGCTTTTATCTCCCAGCTTTAAAAAGTTGGCTCCTTAGCATTTCCTGAATATTTTTTAACATAGTCAAAGGAGATGCAATGATTGCCCTTTCTCTCCAATTCTCTGGAATGTGACCAAAATTTCTTCTCTTAGCCTTACTTATAAAATCTGTAAGATTGAGTTATTTTTACTTTTATGATGGACAGGAAATTTTGAGAAAATACCTGTTGGGGTTTTCTTAGACATGCTTCACCAGGCATGTGTGAAGCAGAGTGACAAGCCTTCATCTTAAAAATTAAAGATGTAGGGAGAAGAGGTAGCAGTGGGAGCAAGATCTGGTTGAATAACCTTACTGACAGCCTCTTTCTTTCTTGTGATAGCGAGAAGTGGAGCTATTGGCTGCTCAGGATTCTTTCAAAGGTGGAGTTTGTTCTTCATTGTATTCTTTTGTTAAAAAAAAGGAAGCATCTCATCAGGAAGAGGTTAAAAGTTTAATGAACACCAAATATTTACTGTTTGCCAATAAATATTGTGCTAGTATGCCAGCTAGCATACTGGATGGAGATGTCAAAAACCATAACTAAGCTGCAATCCCAGCTGCTTATGAGTGGGAAATAGAAGAATTGTGATTTGGGGCCATTCTGGCCATAAAAAGTTTGTGAGATTCTTTTTCAAAGAACAAGCCAAATATGGTACGCCTGTAATCCAGCCATTCAGGATTGTAATTTCAGGTCACATGGGTGAAGGCATGAGACCTTATCTGAAGTTTAAAGAAAAAGCACTGAGGTCTGGCTCAAGTGTTAGACTGCCTGGCTGGCAAGCACTAGTCTTTGAATCAAAACATAGTCAGTACAAGAGAGTGAGCTATACAAAAAGGTTATAAAGGTTATAAAGATGGCATAGTAAGTCTCCAAAGCATTTTAGCAAAGCCTGTATCATTATTGAGTAATTACAATTACTCTAAAAACTCTCCATTTACACAGTCTCTCTTAATCTACAATATCAAGAGCCAAACAAGTAAAATTCCTCATATGAAACATTCTTGGTCTCAAAAGCAGACAAAACATTGTCTAGCATCCCAAAGAGTGACTATATAATCAGTATATACAATAGGCCAGACTTTGTGTTTTGTGTTAGAAAATAAAACATAATATCCATGCTCAAAGACTGTAGAGATCAACAATGCATAACCTTGGGTTAATGTGAATACATGTACACTTTAGATTTATGATATTCTTTAAATTAATGATGGACAGTATAATTGGAAAAATAATTTGGGACATAGTTTTCATGTTTTACCACTTTAAAAATGGTAAATACTCTCAAATTTAGTTCAGATTTCTTTAGTTTGCATTGGTGTCTGCTTAAGCAAGGTCTTAGATGAGTGCTTGATTGAGAAAAGGAAAGCAATTTATAATCTATGTATGAACATTTTTCTCAGTATTGTGATGAAGTTCTTTTAGGAAGAGTTTTCTGTCTCTATGTTTGTTCAAATATGTGGTATTTCTGCCTGAAAAGAAGTTTAAATGACTTTGGAGGGGGTAATCCACTAACAAGATAGAAACTGTATAGATCTCTTGATGTTAGTCAATACCTAGATTAGTTTAAACCTTGTTTGGTAACATTTGAAAATCTTTGTTTTTTGAAAGATAGCTTTAGTATTTAGCTTGAGTTGGTGTTGAATTCACAATCCTCCTGACAAGATGTGGCTTCATTAAAATTTGTTTCATTGAACAATATTGATTAAGAGAACAAAATATAAAAATGTAATTCAAAGATATATTTATAGATAAGTGTATATAAAGATATATATAAGACATAGATAAGCAACTGGTTTCAGTACAGATGTATCCAAGTGCTGGAGAAAATTCAGGCAATAAGAACTCACAGGGTTGGTGGGGAAAGTAAATGGTATAGGTACTTGGAAAAATATTTGGAATTATCTCTTAAAGGTTAATATAGACATATCTTATGATTCAGATAGTTTATTTTCAAGTGTATGCTTATGTACCAAGAGAAATACACAAGAATATCTCTCCAAAGTAGAGATAATGCACAAAATGCTTGTGAATAATAGGCCTACACAATAGAATATAGTACAGTAATGGGCACAAGTGAACTATAACCAAATGAATGAAGTCTGATAAATATGTTGCATGGAGCAAGCCAGATAAGCAAAAATATCCTATGTGTTTCCATTTATATATTTTTTTAATGAGACAAAGCTAAAATACAGTGTTTAAAGATGTGTGCTTAAGAGGTTGGGTGCTGGTGGCTGAGACTGTGATCCTAGCTACTCAGGAAGCTGAGATTTTAGGATTGATGTTCAAAGCTAGCCTGTGTAAGAAAGTCAGTGAGACTCTTACCTCAATTAACAACCAAAATTTCAGAAGTCTATCTGTGGCTCAAGTGGTAGAACACCAGCCTTGTATGAAAAACGTAAAGAATTGTGCCTTGGGCCTGTGTTACAGCCCCAATATTGACAAAAAATACAAAGATGTATGTATAAGTGATAAAAGTAAAAAGGAAAATGAGAAAATGTTGCCATAATGGTTAGGGGAGTAATCATCTTTGGCCAGGGCATATAGGCTACATTTTCTAAAAGAGGGCATGATAGGTCTTTTACTTATAAAAAATGTTTTATTTTGTAGTGACTACATGGGAAATTTTCTTTATAATATATGCTTGAACTAAACATTTTCATTGTGCGTAATGTTCCTATAGGTGTGCTACAGGTTACATCTACAAAGAAGGTAGTGGGACAAAACCATATGGTGACCTAGGACAAGACACTTGTCCTAAACATTTAACTAGGTATATAGCTTAAATAAATAAACTATTAAGTGTTAATAACTAATAAGAGTTAACAAATAACTATTAAACTGTTAAGTTAAATAAATGGTTTATAGCTTAAATAATACATTCACAGGGCTGTGGTGATCAAATATTTTGAAGGCATATTCAACTATCCAGTTCCTTGGATAGTTCATAGTTTTTTAAGCTATTCATCCTTATAGGAAAGCTTTGACTTAAAACTATGCCTTGAGGGAAGAGCTTTTGAAAAACAAACACCTTGTAAAGGAGCCATGGTTTATAATTATGCATCACAGAGTTAGGACAGTTGTTTATGCCTAGTAAAAATAAAAGAATTTGGAACAAATGTTTTCAAATAACACTTTCTAAAATATTCATTAAGGTGAGTCTTCAGAGATATTTCAGATAACCCTTTCTAGTTATTGTAATGAATATGAAAGATGGGTTTTGTTCTTGGTGTCAGTATATCCGAACCAAATTTTCTCACACCCTATATTCTAGTATACTGTTCAGCTACCATATTTTCCTTCAGTAAGTTACATTTTTAAGTGCTGGAAATTGTAATGAAAGGTTTGTTTGTTTGTTTGTTGCCAGTTCTAGGACTTGAACCCAGGGCCTGGGTGTTGTCCCTGAGCTTCTTTTTGCTCACAGCTCTACCAGTTGATCTACAGCATCACTTCTTTTTTTAGTAGTTTATTGATGATAAGAATCTCTTGGACTTACTTGCCCCAGCTGGGCAAGTGTGATCCTCAGATCTCAGCCTTCTGAAAAGCTAGGATTACAGGCTGAGCCACTGGCTCCTGGCTGGCTTGATTTTTAATACTAGAGTTTATAAAGATTATTTCCTAGGAATAACAGATTGGTATCACATTGCCTTGATCTTACACAATATTCTGGATATATAAATTGCTACTATAAATCCAAAGGTCAATATACTTAAAGTTGATTAATTTAATTGACAATTAATTGATAATGGCAGGTTGGATAAAACACTACTAATTACTCTAAACCTTATAGATTTTATAATTATTGATTATTTGAAACTTTATAGAACCTTTCAAATTTATCAATCTTAGTCTGGTAAATTTTATGTATACTGTTAATACAGTATATGTGTGTTAATCTCAATCACATTGACAAATATATCAGTGCTGTGGAATTCAGCATTTATGAATGTAGTATACATTAAGAAACACACACACACACACACACACACACACACACACACACACACACACACACACACACATACACTGTGGCCATAGGTTTTTTTTTCCCTTCTGTGCTAAGTACTACATACTCTGCTCTGCTTTGCTCTGCAAAGAGGCAGTTGTTTTTGTCTTTTTGTAGAAAAGGAAGCTGAAGATCAGAGAGGTTAAGATACATGCCCAAAATCTAAGAACTAAATGTAAAAAATAGAATTTTATTCTATGCTTTGCAGTTAGATGAGATCTATCTTTAAGCTCAGGTGCTACTTTGAAGAATCAATCTATCTGTGTATAAATAAGTAAATATTATCTTCACAAATAGAAGTTAGAACCAAATCTACTCTACCACAAATACTTGAATGGTTTATAGCTTTTACAGGAAATAAAAATTTCCTAGGACAGAAGCAAAGAGTAAGTTTTATGAAAAGAACAGGCTGAATCTGCTTCCTGGTGGTATTTTCCTTTGAAATGCTGATAAAAGGAACTTGGTGGGGTGGTAGGAGGGAAAGAAAAGTTGGCATAGAGCTTTATAGGGATGCCTAGAATGCACTCCTACCTTCTGATTCATTTTCATTGTCTCTTCAGTGTGGTAGAGGAGGAGTTTTTCCCCAGAGGAAGTCAGGTTCACATATACTTGGAGGCAAGGGTACTGAGACAGTTTCCAACAGTCTGGACCACAGTTGAAGGAGCAATTAAAGGTTTCTGTAATGGACACATTTAGCAAGGTGCATTGAGACTCTTCAGTCCACACACTGTAGAGAAAAGAGAATAAGCACAAATCTAAGGGCTACATGCAAGGAAGGGAGTAGTCATGGGGTTAGGAATCGTTCATCCAGGACCAGAGAAATCCTTTCCAAGTGTTATAAAGTTTAGATCCTAGAGAAGAGCAGGTTTAGCCACTCAACGTACCTAGAAAAACTTGGGCTTCTAAACATTTTCTCAGTGACATCATTAGATTATGATATTTTCTCGTGCTTGAATAATTTTTTACTTATAAAATCCACTGAAAGTATAAAACATATTTTAAAATAACTTGTCCTTAAATTGTATTTCTACACTATTCAGCTTCATACCATGGTCTAGCTCTTTCCTCTGTTAGGTTTTACTTTGTAATTTCTTTAGGAAACCCTGACTGAGTCCAGTTTGTATGCAGAGAAAATGTAAAAGAGAAGAGGTAAGATGACATAGGGTGAAGCTTGACAAATAGAGTAACAGTGATATAGTATCTAAGTTCCTTCTAATAAGGGAAATAATATCTCAACACTTCGATTATAGTAATAGTAATATAGTAATTATGTCTATTTTCACTCTGGTTGGTGTTTTACCAAACATACCTTCAGTAGTCTTGTCAACAAACTGGATATTCATTCTCTTTTTTTTTTTTTTTGGTCAGTCATGGTGCTTGAACTCTGGGCCTGGGTACTGTTCCTCAGCTCATTAGCTCAAGACTGGTGCTCCACCCCTTGAGCCACAGCGCCACTTCTGGTTTTCTGGTGGTTTATTGGAGATAAGAGTTTCACGGACTTTCCTGCCCAGGCTGGCTTTGAACCGTAATCCTCAGATCTCAGCCTTCTGAGTAGCTAGGATTCCAGGCTTAAGCCACCAGCGCCGGGCTGGATAGTCATTCTTTACAAACGTGAGTGAATTGAGAATGAGAGATTTCAGATAACATCTACAAAAACATATTTTTGGTCACTGAAGGATATTGTGATTTCTTCCAATATAGTATTTCTGTAAGGGCTTGGATCATTCTACTATTCAGTGCTGTCTTCTCAGGAATGCAATGTAAAATAAAGTCTCTTAATAGACTAATAAATTACTATTTCCCTAATGCCTCTCAACTGGAAAATTTCTACTGTTCACTGGTCAAGGTACATTGTAAAATATCTTTAGTTTTATGATGAGGGTGAACAGTTCTAAGTAGAAAGTATCACAGATAATCAGTGTTTTGCTTCTGGATATAAGCTAAATACCACAGAGACTGAAAAACAAGATGATTTTGTGCAGATTAATACCCTCTCTTTTTGATGAACATGTATTGGTGGCTATTGTATGTATGAAGCTTTATGCCAGAGGTAGGCCAAGGTAAGCCATTCTGGACCCAACTCACTTTGTTGTGGCAAATTGTATTTTTCTGGAATATCTGGTCTGGTTTTAGTAATACAATGAGGAGAATGTGTTTTGTTTCTAAGCAGATGTTGGACTCTAAAAGAAGTTTTGGAATGAGCTAAACTTAGAGGAGTCCAAGGCATCAGTGCTCTCATTGAGAAAATGCATGGCTGAAGGCTGGTGGAGAATCAGCAGAGCAGCCAGGAATGTGAAAAGATGAGGTCTTAATTTTAGCAAATTACTGCATTTCAGCTAGATTTTGCTTCTCAAATGAAAGTATTAATTTGAGAGTGAAATGAATGCCATGTAAAACTGGTTTTCTTTTGAAGCTTCAACTTTTTATATGAAAGTATCTTGTTTCCTTAAGATGTACAACTGTCAGACTTAATTTCAGAAATGCCAGGTACATTTGTGCTCCAAGGGTTTAATTTATGACCATTAGAGAACAAGAGATATGCTGCTCACACTTATACATTTCATTCAGAAGGAAACACATTTGTTGTCTCCCTAATTGTTTACATCCCATTTATTCAGCAAATGTAGAGCAAATTCTCAAGAGCATTCCAAAATCTGTTATTTTAAAAGTCTGATGCCTAACAGTGTTTTTCAACCTTGAGAGTACATTAGAATCATTTGGAAAACTTTAAAAGCCACGTCTTGACTAGATTGCTATTTAATCAATTTCATCTGACCATTTTGAGTAATAGAGTACTTAGGTATTAGCATTTTCAAAGTTTCTGAGGAAGTTAGAATGAGAAATTGAGAACTTCTGATGTGAAGGGTGATAAAGGAGAGAGCTGGGGTGGGGAGGAAAAAGAATGAAGGTAGAATGCAGACAAAGGAATGATGCACCACAAATAATGACTCTGGAACTTGTGGAATGGGGTTTGAATCTTAGGTAGGTCTGCCACATGCTAGAGCTGTGTTACATTAAACAACTTATCTCTCTTTTGAATCTGTTTTGCCATTTTATGAGTATATTAATACTTAAATATTTTATGGAGTACATGTGAAAATATATCATGGAAGAAAAGTCTGGCACATTGTAGGCAATTTAAACATAAATCATCATCATCATCATCATCATCATCATCATCATTATTATTACGTAACACCAAGTAAATATGCACCAGAAACTTTTTGAAAGTAGGAAAGAAAGTGAGAAAGATGACCTTAGGGTTAATAGAACAATGGAAAAGGAGAGAGAACAAGGATACCCCTGTCCCAGCCACCCAATGCCCTTACCTCTGCATGTATGAGCGTAGGAGTGTGATTCCCAGTAGAAAGTACATCATGATGGAACAAACCATCATGGCTAGTCCCAAGAGAATGGCCCGGTCTTCTCCAGCTTTAAGTGCTGTGACTGTTTTCCTTTTGTCCAGGAGGTCATGGTCCCTGATTTTTTGGTAGATATTTCTGAAGTTGAAAACAATAGAGTCTTACATGAGGGTTTGTTAATTAGCACACTCTTCCTTAAGGAAAGTTTCTGCCATTGCATTTCTGGGCTGAGAGAAATAGAGTTACTCTCCAAACCTGCTTGAGTATAATCCCAGTGGGTGGCATCTGCTTCCCAAAGCACATGTACACATGGATGCTTATATACCCACATACATGTATGCACATTTAAGCACACACACATAACCACTCATAAACACACCAACTGAATGGGAACTTACCATTCTGTCTTTACCTTGGGGCTCATATCTAACAATCCATTAATTTTACTTCTGTCCAATTCTAGAGAAAGCAGTCCCTTATACTCTGAAAATAATGTCTTGGGTTTAGTGACTTTACCATCTATCAAGGTGATTATGATGGATAGATTTTAGGATTTTATCTACTTAAGCATTAATTCAAATAAATGACAACATATATTATGAATCTATTAAGTTAATCCCTATGTTCCCTCAATAGAGATGGAAGCTATTATGGTTAACATTTGTCTCAAACTTATGATAGCTTTGGGCTCTATTGACTTGAGGTTTATAACCATACTACTATTTTTGGTTGTTTGTTTTGGAGCAGCATCATATGATGAATAAATTAGGTTGGAGTCCTGATTTTACCATCTACTGACTGTATCGATAACAAGTTCCTTAATATTTTTGATCCCTAATTTTCTACAGAGTAAAAATATGTTTCAATGAGATACTGCTTCATTAGACAGCAGAAGTCAATTGTCCAAGAATAACTGACATGTAAGTACTTAATAAATGTTTCTATTAAAAATGGAATGAAAAGCAATGGATAGACATACATGTTGTAACATCATAAAACTACTGTCATATTCCAAAGAATTTCTAAAAGACAAAATGGCAAAAAAATGAGTATCAGTTAGTAATGAGGGGATTGGATTGGAGAAGATAGTACAAAAACATGAGAAATTCTGGGGTGTTGTTTTAGTTGTTCAGAGTGATGTACACAAGTGTGGATTTGGAGGGCAGTGCTCAAGCATTCCAGCAAGACTGGTCATCAAGTTAAAAGTTTAATCTTTTTTGTGTGTGTGCTTGAACTCATGGCCTGTGCTATTCCTTAGCTTTCTTGCTCAAAGCTGACATTCTACCACTTGAGCCAAAAACGTCCAGCTTTTTGGTAGTTAACTGGAAATAAGAATGAATTCTTCTTCCTGGGATGACTTCCAACCTTGATCCTCATATCTCAATCTCTGGAGTAGAGGAACCATCAGTTCCTGGTAAGTCCCCTCTCTTAATTTCTACTTAGATAAGGATGTTTTTGGTTCAGGACATTGGTAGAGGAAATATTTCTGGCCTGTGTGTAGGAAACAGGAGAAAAAAATTGAATGCCCCAAAAATGGATAAAGAAGCTCTTAGTCAATTTTTTTTGGCTTTAAACAAAACGCAAGTATGACTTCAGAGTTTCCTTTGAGATTTTTATTACTAATTACTCATATTTTTTGGAGGAAGAAATGAGTCAAATCTAGCATTTAACTTTGTTTAGGTGATGAACAAGATGTTCATTGTTTGTACACCTGTATATAAGCAGCTTTGTGCTCTAGTCTGCACTTTCTTGTGCTTATGGCACCTTACACACTGTTCTAATTGGCTGGTAGAATATGAGGGTAGATGTTAAATGAATATATGAGATTGGATCTATATTTATTTACAAAAGTTTCTGGGGAAAACTGTTGATCAATTTTGTTACCAGTGTACAAACTTAGCTAACTAACTATTGTTAATGTTTAGAGTTTATTTGTGAGGTAGCTTATATATATCTTACTCTTTCTTCAATGAGTAGAAAGAGGCCCATTGGAGGTGTAGAAACACAGCTAAATTATCTTTTTTCTTCTTCTTTTTGCTGGTGCCAATAGTGGGGTTGAACTCAAGGCCTTAAGCTTTCACTATGTTTTTCACTCAAAGTTGGCACTTGAGCCACATCTTCACTTACAGTTTTTTATTGGTTAATTGGAAATAAGAGTCTTACAGACCTGCCCAAGATAGTCTCCTGATTGGCTAGTATTGCAGTTGTAGCCTTAGTGCATAGCTAAATTTGTTATCTTCCAGGTCCCCCCCCCCCACCCCCATCATTCACAACTGGCTACTCATTGCCATTGGTCAGAGGCCTAAAAAAATATTTTGAATTATTTTCCAGCTCCCAAGGAAAGTGTTCTTGGATTACTTATCCTTTCCTGCTTTTACTTTCCACAGACAGACAATCACTCACCCTCTAAGTTTCTACAATACATTTGGAAATTACAGGATTTATATAAAAACTTTAAACTTGATCCTTTACAAACTTGAAAATAAATTGGTGCCACTATAAGACAAGAACAGTAGGCAGGAAATCTTCTGAAGCAGGAAAAGACAATGCTGAGGCTAAGTAGCTTCAAATACCTGCTGTGAAATGAAATAATAATGTGTCATTGCTTTGCTAATGTTACCTACTAACATGTATTTAGCTATGATGACTGCCATTGAGACTTGCATTTCCTGCAGACAGACAACAGCAAAAAATGAAGCAATAGCTTCCCAGTTCTGGAGTATTAGGCTGTCACACAAGTCATTTATATTACTCCATGGCCACAAAAGAGATGAGGCATAATCAGCCAAATATATCACAAGAATAAGAAACATAAAATGATTTAAATGGGTGATTTAAAAACAAATCAAAACTGATACTGGTGGCTTACACCTGCAATCCTACCTACTCAGGAGATTGAAATCTTAGGGTGGTGGTTTGAAGCCAGCCTGGGCAGGAAAGTCTGTGAGACTTAAAAAATATTTAGGTAGTTGTACAAAGGAGTAGACATTTAAAAAGCTAGAAGTGGAATTGTAGGTCAAGTGGTAGAGCTCTAGCCTTAAGCATAAAAGCTCTAAGACAGTGCTCAGGCCATGACCATGAGTTCAAGCATGCACACATGCGTGTGCGTGCACACACACACACATACACATACACTTGCAATTGAGAATAGTTAACAAATAGTCTTCATATTCTCCAATGCTAAAAAAAGGGAGAAAATGATTGATTTCTATATAGCCAATGGGCATTTGGGAAATCAAGATATTACTCAGCAAAATGTAAGTGGTAGCTGGTGAGTTATACCCATGGAGTTCACTAAATGACTACTGAATTGATGGAGTAAATCAAAGGACTAATGAATAATCTGGGAAAAGAAGAGTTCGATAAATTCTTATGTTTGGAGTTAGGTCCCTGCCCAATTTATAAAAGGTAGAAAGTAGATATCCATGTGCTGGACTCAGGATGCTGGACAGGATGTCATCCTAAGTAGGAATGTCTGTGAAACTCCTTATCTCCAATTAACAAGAAAAAAAGCCAGAAGTGCAAGTATGGTTCAAGTGGTAGAACACGAACCTTAAGCAAAAAAGCCCAAGGACAGCACCCAGGCCTCTCTAGTACCTGCACCAAAAAACAATAGAAGAAAAAATATCAACAAAGGTGGGAAATTAAATTAAGGAGTCCTAAGATTACAGGAGGTGAGCAGCATCCCCAACTTGGGTTGATTGGACAGAGAGGAAGAATTGATGTTAGACAAAGCTTCCTTGATGAATATTCTCTTAAATAGAAATCTTCAAGTTTGATTCAGAGTTAACAAAATGAGATGAAGAACTGAAGGTAGTTCTGATAGGAAGAGTCACATGAATGGACATTACAATTATGTTAATGATAATGGGTAGAGTGTGTTGTGGAGGAAGAGGTAAGTTTGGAAAAGTTTGAAGTATATTAATGTATATGAAAATATATTAAAAATGGAAGACAACATATCAGAGAGAGGAATAGGAAGACTTATGTTGTTTTAGGAGAAGATAATAAGGCTAGATCTGAGGTCAAGGTAGAATAGATAGACAAAAGGATAGAGAGAGAAAATCTTAGGAGATAAAATTTAGGGTAGTTTTATTTATGTCTTAGTGCTTAGCTTAGATGTTGAAAGAAATGTTTGAGAGTGACAAAGTCCCTTTAGTATTTTCTCTCATGTTTGAAAGAGAGGACTTTTGGTGAGCTTTTTAAGGAGAAGAGGTGGTTATATATTCATTACTTGCTTCTTACAAACTTAGTATACTTAGTTCATAAATACTAACTTGATGGTAAGATAGAACAAAGTCAGGAAATCAAAAGGTGATGAACATATTTTGGATGAATGTTTACATTACTGCCTTTATATGACACACTTAAAAATAGTCTTATTATAGTTGTGTTTGAACTTCCATGTCCCACTAAAAAGCTGTGGAAAAGCGTGTATAGAGTCTAAATGTGAATGGTATCTTCCTTTTACCCCCAGTTACCTTCAGTAGTAGGTAGAAAAAGCAACATGTAATTATTTTGTGCTCAGTTCTAAGCATAATCATTTATAATAGAAATATTTGTACCTTGGAGCTTACACAAACTTGTATTTCATTTTTTAGTTGGTTCTTCATTTATGTATTTTAATAAAGCTACCTGAAAAGAGTGAGGGGTAGGGTATATGGTGGGAGAAATAAGGGAACAAAGGTCAGTAAAATTAATGTATATTTACAAATACATATGTATATATGAATATATAATATATACATACAATTAATGCATATTTATAAATATGTGTATATGTATATATGAATGTTATATATACACATATACACATATGTATGTTTGCTACAGACACAGGGAACATTGTCTTCAAAATCTTTTGTAGAACCCTTTCAAAATACTTTTAGTGTTAAACTAAGTTTACAGGTAAGTCCAAGAATAATTAAAGTCTTTGTAATAATTATCTTATAAACAAAAATACTTTCATTTTTCAAGCAAATTTCATTTTTACTCCAAGCAAGTCAACATAGTACAATTTTATTGAGCCCAATATTTGAAAATTTCCTTTAAATCTGATCTTAGGACTCAGCTAAATTATTTATGAGAATGTGTATGTAAAAATGTATAAGTGCAAGAAAGATTTTCTCTCTAGCCAT